TGTCACTGTTCCGTATCCACGACCCAGCCTAAGGCTGCCTTTGACGGTTCTCCAGCCATTTCCTGCATACTGCACTAGCACTAATTGAAAATTTGGGTGGCCTTGCTTATTTATTTTCCTGGAATGTAGTGGGTTATATTTTCATGGCACTTTCTCAGCAGTGCAACGTTTCAATTTCAAAACCACTGCAATATGAGGAAAAGTAACCCCCAAAATTAAAAAAATAACAATAAAAAGCAGCATATCTTTGATTAATTTTTACAGTAGTTCTTTTGTAAAAATATATAATGGAAAAAGAATTCAATGTTGCTTTTGTTTTTCAAGATCAGAGGGAAGAGAAGCAATTTAAATACATGTACAAGATGGTCACATGCAGACACAATGAGGCATGAAACTTTAAATGTACAGATGCCATGGAAATGAAAAGATAATATAAAGTGTGTTCTTTGCAAGTCTTGCAGAGTTCAATAGCTACATAATGTGTGTGGAGGGAAAGAGAAACAGCCCCCCTGCCCTCTCTAGGAAAATTCCAGCTATGTCTGGATATGCCATTGGCACTAGCGTTGTGCTTTGCCTCCCCAGATTTCTGCAGGAATGTCATTCCACAGCAGACAGGATTAGTATGTCACTGTTACCTCCTTTCTTGGAGATGAACATGCTTGGGCATGAGTACCTGTTGCAAATTTCAAGTTTTGATCAAAAAAATTCACTGATCTCTTGACAATATTTCAAGTCTTCAGAATTCTTTTCTCTTCATGCCTAATTGTTTTGGTTTATGGTGATTTTTACTGTGTGTGCAAAAATTAAAGGTTGGCATGATCCTGTTTGTTTTTCTTCCTGATACATTAAGTGCAACTACTGAAGTCTTTTGGGAATTATGTTTTGTTCCCAGAATTCAGGCATAAGGAAATGTTTAAAAATAAATATACAATTAAGGTGCTGATCTGTGTCTGATAAGTTATTTGAAGGAAGAGTGAATTGAAGATGGAGTCTGTTTTTACCTACAGGCACACATCTTTAGGATTACCCAAATATTTTAATTTATTAATGTTCTAGAATGGAGATAAAACTGGATGATGAAATAAATTTGAAAAAACAAAATGTGTCTTCTATTTCTGAGTTTTCAAGATCTTATTTTGGGGTTTTATCTATAAGTGACATTTGGAGACCTTTAAGTCAAGCATCAAACATTTCTTCCAATTTAGTGAAGTAACAAAATAAGCAGGGTGGGATTTTTTGTTTGGTTCGTTTGTTGTGGGGTTTTATTTTGGGGTTTTGTTGTTTGTCCTTTTTTGTTGTTGTTGAGGGTTTAGGGGGGCTTTGTTTTTTTAACAAAAGCAATCTCAAATCAAAATGTCAGCCCAATCATTCCTCCATATTCTCATTTCCTTCTTTGAAAAGTCATGATATCCCCATTGGGGAAGTTCAGATTTTAACTGGGCCTTTCCAGTCAGTTCTGAATCCTATTTCCAAACTCCCTCATGATACATTTCCCAGTGAGAAAGCTGATTTTGTCAGTTAAAAAGTGCCCTAAGTTAAGGGCTGTGTAGCAATCAATCAAAGTGTATCTTGCATGCACATATTGTGCCTCATTACAATTAACAGTGAGTTTTGTTTCAGCTGGATATTACAAATTCCCTGAGATGCATGGCTGAGAGAACTGGGGTTGTTCTGCCTGGAAAAAGAAAGCTTCAGGGAGACCTAATTGCAGCCTTACAGTACATGAAGAGAACTTACAGGAAAGATGTGGCAATGCTCTTTGCAAGAGCATGTAGCGACAGAACAACAGGGAATAGGTTCAAATTAAAAGTTTTAGATTAGATATTAGGAAAAAAATCTTTACAGTGGGAGTGATGAGGCACTGGAACAAGTTGCCCAGGGAAGCTGTGGGTGTCCTATCCCTGGAAGTGTTCAAGGCCAGATTGGATGGGGCTCTGTGCAACCTGATCCAATGGAAGATGTCCCTGGCCTTGGCAATAGAGTTGAACCTAGGTGATTTTTAAGATCCCTTCCAACCCCAGTCATTCCATGATTCTATGAAGGGCAACACAAGTGAGTAATTGAGGACTTCACTTTTTTTATTTATAGCTGGTTAATTTTGCCTTGTAAATAAGAGTAATCAATTGGGAAAGATGGGTTGAAATGGATGCTCCTCCAGCCTTGTCTCTCCTCCATGAGGATTTGTCTACCTTGTTGAGGATACAGTCACACCATCAGCTTGGCTTTTGGCACAAATGAGACACAGCACAGAACAGGAGGGATCTTGTGGTGGGCATATGGGCACTTTTAGAAATGGGCTTGCTGCACATTGAGGTTGTAACTCTTACAGCACAGCACAATAATTAGTGATTGTCACAGTCACAAATGATCGCTACTAACTCTTCTAATTCTGATTTTTTTTTTTTTTTTTGCAAATGCCTTTAGAGAAAACACCAGGATTCCTGTCAGATCACAACTGATGTTGTCTTTCATTGTCTTTCACTCTATTTGGGAAATAGACAAATGGGATGGAAACTATTCTAGCCAGTTTTCATGTACCAGCCTTTTTTTCTGTGGCTAGAAATACTTTTATATATATATATATATATATATATATGTATATAATTGTTTTCTCCTGCTGCTTGCTCACAACTGAATCATGACACAGGTCTTAAGTGGGCAAATGTAATGATATCAGCATAGAAAGCTAGCCAGTACATAGCAAGAGCAAACACAAGCCTGATGTCAAAACTTAAAAGATGCACAGAGCTAAAAGGAACCTCATGAATGTGCCTAGTACATCCTGCCTCTTAAGGAAAGACTGACTATAACTCCAGGAATAGAGTTATTCCTGGAGGTGCTTTAGCCACTTCTTAAAGGCTTCCAACGAACCTGGTTCAATGGATTCCCTAAACAATCTATACCAGTATTTCGTTGTCTTCAGTGTTTCAGTTTTTCTGAATGCCTTTGCTATATTGTTTCCTATACCTATTCACCCTGTCCCTCCCAGACATGGAAAACTAACTCTTAGCCACTGCTGTGCAACTTTTATCCAGCTTTCAGAAGTGGTGGATTATTTCTCACAAACAGGATTTGGGTGTGCAAAATACTATTACTATAATTATCATTGTCATTGTTCTTATCATTATATCATAGTAATGTAGAAACAGGACAGAATATTAATTATAAATGTATTCAGATATTGACCATATTTTAAAATGTGTATCTCAAAGAATAGAGTCAGGGTCTCAGGTACAAGCTGACCTGAACTGGGGACTGTATAAGGCTAAGGCTACTTAATGTGCATGCATAATTTTAAGTATTTGAGTTCAGTATTTTTGGTAAAGTGAATAATAGACCTAAAAGTGTTTTCAAGTTAATGGGAACTCATAAGTGCTTTCTTGGATCACAGCCCAAGAGCTCAGCACATTGCAGGGCTAAATACAGATTTAACAGTCTAAATTTAGGCCTCTGTGTTTTAAAACATTGGCTAAGATTCTTCTCAGAAATTTCAGTGGAAATTGCTGAAGATCTGAAGTCAAGCCCAAACACCCCTTAAACTTCTGTGTCTAAGAATAAATGTCACTAAGAAACACTAAAGACTAGAACTGTAGTTCATTAAAATTAAATATTGTCATGTGTTTAATGGGTTTCAGATGATTTACTACCTTTGATCATACACTGGAGTCACAGAACAAGATTCACATTTTAGTGTCAATTGCTTGTCTGAGATATTAAAATATTTTTTCTCTCTGAAAGCAACTTAAGAATATATCTAATTGATATAAAATGCAACCTCTTGCTAGCAGCATAGTTGTGATACTAATCTTAATGTAAATTATCTAAAAATTGAGTTTTAAAAAACCAATTATACTTGTTCCAGTTGCATAGTTTATCTACTTTTTTACCATTCTCATCCCCTTTTTCTGAGCCCTATTTTGTAATTTGCCTTTTCTTTTTCACCCTAAAAGACTTAGAGATCAGTTGGTCAGGAGAAGCAAAAGAGGAAAGAAGAGACAGATAGGGAGAATTATGAAGAAAGAAAAAAATAAAGCAAACAAAAAGGTACTTAGTAATAGATGAAACCTTTGTAATATTAAATTCAAGAATTCCTGTATAATTTCCTTTAAAATAAATACACTTTTGCAGAGACACTGAATGGGGAAAATTAGGGAAATAAGTTGGTTCCGTTAAAATGAGTCAAACTGAAAATTAATTAATAGTTCCTTGTTACTCAAGTTGATTTTCCCTAGTCACATTAGGAAGTGTTGGCTGCTACTGGAGCAGAGATATTCCCCCTTCCAGTAGAGTGTACCTGGGGTGCTCAGGCAGAAATGGACAGTCCCATGGGTACAGTTCAGTTCACAACAGTGGATCTGATCTCTGAGCTCACTCACCGTGATTTCAGAAGTCAGAGAAAATATCTGAGTAATAGCTTTTCCATGCTTATTCCCAAAGTATGGAAATTAAAGTAGTTGTGTCAGAGTTCGTTCTTGTGGAAAAGAGAATCTCACCTGGAATTTGAAAGACAAAACCCCCAAACATCCTTTGAAGTGGGATTTTTCTTCCCTTTGAGAAAGGGGCAAAATTTTAAGTTGGTTTATATTTCAACTTCTCCCCATCTATTTTTTAACAATACCCACAGTACAGAAAGACTGGTCCCAAGAAGTATTTAAACTGATGCAACTTAGTAGTGACACCCTTGACAGAGCTGTGGTATTCAGCATTCAGTATTTTTAGCTGCACGAAGTAATTTAGTAATTTGTTTCATTGGTGCTGTTTAGAGAAACAATGCCTCTGGGTCAGTAGTGCACAGATTACTTGGATAAGTCTTGAAAGGGAAGAATTAGTGTGGTGTTAGCCAAGAAAGTAAAAGAGTGAGAGAATTTTGTGTACTGTTGGAAATGGTTGAAAGTGCAAAGACTATATTTTTTGTTTGATGTGGAAAAAGTGACTGTGCGTGCTCTGGAAGAAAACTCAAAATATTGTGTGCATTAATTTATATGTTGTTTCTCTTGAAGCATACCAGAAATCATCTGGGAGAAAACACTGATCGGTAAGTTGTTTCTTTCTCTCTCGCCTCTCAGTGAAGATAAATATATTTCTCTGGCTTAAGCTCCCAGATAATCGCCAAAGGCTGCCAAGGTCAAAGAATTTATTTCTGAACCTATGTATTAAATAAAGAAATAGAGACATAAGATTTAAGTAAATCAGTTCCTGGATGCTGGTTTGACAACTCAGATCCAGGTGATTTTCAGTTTAGGAGGAAGCAGAAAGCAGCTGGTCTTGTGAGCAAAATATAATGCAGGAAATCTACTTGGAAATTGAAATATCTCTATGAATTTTTTATAAAATCTCTGGGAACTTCTAGAAACCAACCTCCACAGGGATGTTACATTGATGGTTCAAGGAAATAAAAGGAAGTGGGACCAATAAGGCAAAGAAAGGTTGTGCAGTGATTATAGATTTGTTAGGGCAGTTGAGGACGTGCTGGGCTTTTTGGCTCTGCTCCTGATTCTGCTGCCATGGCTTTGGCAGGTTACTGATTTCTAGTTCAGAAGACACGATATGGTCATGGAAGCAGCCCTCTTAATTTCAAACAGGCTTTAGGTTATGTACACACAGGAAAATAGAAGATGGTGAGTTATAAATCAGATAGGTTCCTTTTTTGGCAATTGTGAAGCAAACCATCTGTATGCATTACAAGATGGACAAATAATGATGACCATGGATTTGTCAAGAACAAATCCTATTAAACCAATAAGACCTCCTTTTAAAATAAGGTAATAGGTGTTACACAAAGGAGAGAAGTATTAAAAATTCATATATCTTCATTTTAGTAAGGCTGTAGACAATGTTTCTTGTGAATAAGCAAAGACAATATGGTCCAAATTGAAAGCTCCATGGTGTAAGAAAAGGCAAGACTATTTCTGAGGAAGAGTTAGCAAAATGGGGTCATTATCAAAAGGAGAGATGTATTGAAAGAGGTTTCTCAAGGTATCTGATACTCTTTATAAACATCCAAAGAATGGAGTAGAGACTAAGCTTGATACATTTGAAGAGGACATGAAAAAGAGAGCAAATAAAAGAGTGTTAGAGAACAGAATTAGAATTCAAAGGGAATTTGACAAAGTGGTTATGAGGAGATTTTTTTTAAGAAAAATACAAAAGATGGTATTCAATAGGTGCAATAGACATAGCATCATCAGTTCCCCAGATACAGGATGGGGAAAAGTAAACAGGATTATAGTTGCCTGGAAAAAATGTAGAGTGAATCACAGGCTAAGCACGAGTCATCACTGTTATGCTGTTGTAAAAAGGAAAATGGGATTGAAACAGGGAAACAGCCTGCAAAATAGGCAAAGCAATTATTTTGCTCTGCTACCCCATGGTACAGCTTAAATTTTAGTGGTTTGGGGTAGGTTTTTTTTTTAAGTTTTTCATCTGAATCATGCTTGGCTTGGGGAATTGTGCTTCCAGAATGACACTGGGTGTCTTCAGAGGAGTGCAGGGGAGTTCAAGCTTGATTACCAGTCCAGACAACATTAAATATCAGGCTATTAATGGGACAGTTTGTAATAGTGAGGCAAAGAAGATACAGGGTCTTTAAATATGGAAAAGACAGCTACAGGGAGGAAGCAAAGAGTCTGTTCTCCAGGCCAGGAAAGACAGACTTTTCACTAATGGACTTAAATTCCGGTAGGGGACCTATTTAGAACATACATTAGGAAAAAAGACCTCTAGTGATAAGGGTAGAGAAACACTGGGAAAAATTGCCTGAGGAGATGGCAAAAGCACCATACTGAGAAGCCTTTAAGAACAAGATTTAAAAAGCAGTTATGTTGCAACAAAAGATCATGTCTTGGGGCATGGAAAATAACAGGAAAGGGGGATTTCTTAAGGTCATTTTCAACCTTATGCTTCTTAGGATTTTCCTGTTCCTCAGATTTCCCTGGTTATAATATTCACCTCACAAATTTAAACAAGAGTAGGAGAAGGTCTGGTTTGGATGTTCACATGTCAAAAAAATTTAGGCAACAGCTGTAAGCTTGAAGGCATTCAGAAAACAGTTCTGGAAAGGCACTTATACAGTGCAGAATCAAAGTTAATCCATACAGTTTGTTAAGAGAAGGTGAAGGAGTAAATCTGCTGCATTTCACAAACATCTTCAAAAGGAAGATATTTCTGTTAACAAGAAGCAGGCTTGCAATGGACAGATGCTGCAGCTAGATGAATTTACCTTTTCAAACAACATTTATATTTCAATCAAGTTTTTTTTACACATTAAGGTAGTGTGGTACATGTTAGCATAACCACTGAGAAATCTTCAAAAGTGCAATGATGGATTGGCCATTTCTCAAAAATAAATAAATAACAAATTTTATTCTTTGAAATAAAATGAAGATGCCTTTTTTAAAAAAACAGCTACAGAAAGACCTTGCTGTGGGAATGGCTGGAGGAAATTCTACAGCTTTCAATATTCAGGTTAGACAAGATGATCATAATAATCTCTTTGGCTTTCAAATCTGTTTACCTAACTTTGTAGAGAGATATAATGTTTACAGATCACTGTCAAATCTGCAGAAATGGATTAGAAAAAGGCATGAATGAGCAATTACTCTTGTGACCTCTATGAGGTATAACACTTACTATTTACCAGGTCATTACATTACAAATTGTCACTTCTTTCCTCAGTTTTAACTGCATAGATTAATCTCTTTAACAGCATCTGGAGTTCCATAGAGTAATATATTTATATTAGCAGCATTATATATGACAGCAAATATATACTATATATTATGGTATATACATCATAAGTTATATATATATGACAGATATATATTTTTTTTAACCACACTAATTTTCTTCCTTTTGTTCCAAAGAGATATGCGGGGTAGTGTTTCTTTTCTCCAGAGGGTCACATCTGCAGTCAGTCACTGTCAGCTTTGTTCTGGTGTCACTGAAGGGGTAGGTGATGGTCACTAAACATCAGCTGGGGAAACCACCCACAGCAGATTCAACAAAGTGCACCACACAGGAAGTTCTGCATTGACAGTATTATCCAGGGCCCTATAGATCATATGATTCCTGCATGCTGCTTGTGGAAATAGGAGGATTTGCCTGTGTGGATGCCAGTGAAGAAGGTACACAAGTCATTTATAAGGCTTCTGTTCTTGCAGGAGTTGTGCTGTTCTGACAAATTCCCAAGGACCATGATCTGCATAAAAATACTGCTGAGAAGCCTTTTAGAAATAGCAGCTTAAAATCTCTAAAGGCTGGGTGATATTTTCACAAGCAAAAGATCTGTCAGCTTGTCCTCACTTGGGGGCTTAACACTGGAGAGGTTGACACTTTTCAAGTTCATGTTCCCTCTTAATGATTCACCTATTTAGGGTCTTTTCACTTACAACAGAGGTGAATATTCGATCAAATCTGTAACCGAACTATAGTTTGGCACTGAAATTTATCACTTGAACTAAATCTAAACTCATGGTTGTTTATTACAAAACCTTCTGGGTACATAGTTCCCTTTATGGACTCCCACAAAAGTCAATGGGCTTTTTGGGCACAGGTGTCCCCTCTCAGAGGGCACTGGGCTGGGGCCCAGGTATGCAGTGTGCTGGGTGGGGCCTTCTGAATCCACCAAACCTCTCAAAGAGTGGTTTTCTTTGGCACATCTGATGACAGGCATTCAATGAGAAAATTCAAACAAGCTGTCATGGAGAAAAAATATAATTTTGAACTGGGTGGCAAACGGTTGCACTTTTTTTTAATATTTTATTTCTCTCTTTTCTTGGAGAACCAAGGAGCTCTTTTTATGTATTGGATCTCAGCAGAAAACTGCAGTAACTAGTTATAACTGCGGAAACTTATAGAAAAGACAGGTACCATCTGCTTTTGTTTTTCCCCAGAAAGATATTGCATCATGTTTTACAGAGAAGAGGAAAGAGTCAGAAATGTATTGCTTATTCATAATATGACATATTCCAGTCTGCTAATTTAACCTGAGCACCTTTAACCTATGAAAGCAAAGTTAGGAAGTGTGTGGGGTGTGGCCACACATTTTTTTTTTATGGTGCTTTTTATGGTGCTTTAAGGTTTTATGCAAGGTAATTTGCCTTCCCATTAGTGTCCTGCTTTGGCCTGGTTTGGCATAACTAGGAATGGAGTCTTCCTTTCTGGATTGGTTTTTTTTTGTTTGTTTGTTTTTTTGTTTTGTTTTTTTCTTTCATTGCTTTTCCTCTCCTTCCCAGTAACCTTTTTGTCTGAATGTGGCTTTTGCAACCAAATACTGAAGAATACCAACAAAGAGTGAAAAAGGAAATCTCCTGAGTCTTTCCATAAGGAAATGAACTTGTGTTCAGAATTCCCATAGGCAGCCTGTGGTTTTGGAAAGAAACATTTTTACTGGTTTATCATGAAAGGAGGACAGATTTATGTCACCTGGGGCTGACAGCACTGCTTGAGTATTTGTGCCTGGGCTTTTGCCCCCCACCCATCCTTCTGCACCTCCCCTCACAGAATCACAGAATGGTTGGGGTTGGAAGGGACCTCTGGAGACCGTCCAGTCCAAGCCCCCTGCAAGGCAGGGTCACCTGGAGCAGGTGACACGGGAACATGTCCAGGTGGGTTTGGAATGTCTCCAGGGAGGGAGACTCCACGACCTCCCTGGGCAGCCTCCCTCACACCTCAGGCTGGGAGTCCCAACACTACTGCTGGGCGAGTCTCTGCCTATAGGCGCAGTGCTTGGGGGTGGTTTTATTATAATTTATTACTTTTGTTCACAGAATCACAGAATCTGCTGAGCTGGAAGGGACCCATAAGGATCACCGAGTCCAACTCCTGGCCCTGCACAGCGCCGTCCCCAGAGTCGCCCCACGCGCCTGAGAGCATTGTCCAAACGCTTCTTGAGCTCTCTCAGGGTCCTGTCGCTGTTGTCACTGCCATAGTCAAGACTGTTATAATTAAATATGTTTTTTCTTCCCTTGCTCCTCATCCACGGGAGAACCGACCCCCATTTTCTCCGGGGGCCCTCAGGAGCCCCGCGCAGG